GCCCAGCTTCCCAGGACGTCTACTCTACCATGGTCATGTCCTGTGCAGAGGAGCTGGGAGCTGGCCTACATGATGGAGCAGGTGAAGCCACAGCACTCCTTGAGCAAGGTGAGGCCTGTTTTGGTCATGTATGGTGCGGAGGTTTGCTGCCCCCTGGAAGTCATTTTCTTCTCTTTGACAGGAGCTATGGAAAGATGAATTGATGTCTGCCTGGTGACGAAAGCACAGGCCCATCGCTTCTTCTTAGAGCTCCTTTTGGGGCTAAGATGCTGATCCTCTTCTGACCCACAGCTGGGCATGAGGTTCTGCATCTAGAAGGCACATCATCATGTGTGCAACAGGCACAGGGACCCGAGGCTGGAAACACCTCCCACTGCACTGGGGAGATGTTCCTCCAGCAATGATGGAGGCACAGCAAAGAGGGTAGCCATCAGAGGCCATAAAGAAAGGAGGACTTGATGGATACCACAATTTATTATCTTAGCTAATGGTGTAATGAAATCTAAAGAGCTGGTTGGAAAGGGTCAGATGAAGTATATCAGCCCTAAAAGGAGACCTACCCATCCCCATTCTCATGGGACATGCTGGCTGGGAAATGAAAGCATAACATCTGTACCAACTTGGGATGTTTCCACAATGTGATCTCAAGCACCACCATCCCCCAGTTGCCATTTCCCCACACCCTCCTCCAGCAGCAGATGGCTTCCAGGGAAGCGGCTAGCATGGGACTACCATGCAGAGCAATGAAATCTTGGGTACAGTGTCTTAGGAATGGGGAGAAACTCCCAGGAAGTTTCAATAGAGGGAATAAAACTCATCAACCACCTACTTGCTTGCTGGAGGTAGCTTTTGGAGAGCTTACTTTGCAGGAACTCTGCCATTTCCTTGTCTTCTTCCCTTTCCCTGTGACAAAGAGATTGGTTAGAAGTCAGGGAAGGAGCAGCAAGGCATTCAGGACCATCTGGCAAGGCATGATACAGAGCAGAAGACAGACTGCACTGTCCTCAGCTCAAGGAATAAATTGCACCAGCTACCTGAGCCTCTCAAACTCCACATCGTCCACCAGGCAATCCCACGTTTCCACCAGCTTGTGTATCTGCTGGACCAGCTCTTCTTCCTTCTGCTTCTCCTCGTTGGACTTCTCATTCTCTGCAGCACAGGGAACATATTTAAAACACCAACAGGGGCCATCCCACCCATTCCAAGGCCAAGCTTGCTCTGCTTCTGCTTGACTTGGGAGCAGATGTGAGAGTGGGGTTAAAAGCCAACCCAAAGTAAGCACCTGGATCCAGACACAGGCTGCTAAATAAGCAACAACCTCATCCCAGACCTCCCTGGCCAGAAGGAGACAAGTCTGGTGTCACTGAAATTTGAATTTTCAGCTTCTCCCCAAAATTTCCATGAGGCTGAGAAAAATGCAACTGTGGCTTTGCAGAGTAGAGGAAGGGCCCCTCTGACCTCTCTGGTCGGAGTTGACCATGGCTTCCCTGGGGTCTTCACCCTGCCCGGCTGCAGAGGCTGGGTACTGCGTGTCAACAAGCTCAGAAATGTCAGACTCGGATGTCATCCTTGGGTCAGGATGTGCTCAACCCACATTTCCCACTACAGCACACCCAACCTGTCTCAGCTTGGCCCTCAGCTGGGTAGGGGTCCAGAGACCTCTGAGCCAGGTTTTCTGGCTGAGAAACCAGCCAAGGATTCAGGTGCACAGGGGATTATCAACAATCCCAGATGACTTGGGAACACCTCACACCACCATTTATCCCATTCATAGAGAGTCATGAAAACCAATACTATCCCCTGGGTTTTGTGGCCTTATTCCCTTGCTGAACATGGTCGTGGTGATCTCATCCTTTACATCTGACCTTTCAAACCACTGACAGCCCCATTCCCACCCCAGTTACAAGGACAACCACAAGTTTCCAACCAGGCTCTTTTGGATGTGCTATCCTGGGCTGTCACCTGAACCCCTAGAGTGACCAGCCTTGAGCATGGTGGGACGCAGTTGTGCCACAGATCTCTGGGTAGTGAGTTAGTGAAGATCTGAAAGCTCTCACAGCACTATGAAGACATGTCTTATCTAAATTGGTACACAATGGTAAATGGGATATGACAAGATGATAGAGATAGGGCTACGGAGCATTAAACGGAGAGCTACCTTAGGTGGAAACTGTGACTGTCTGTGCTGCAGCTATTTAATACCATTTCTGAATTCAACATCCAGCCCCAAAATCAATCCAGCACAGGACGGATCAATCTCCAGTCTTCCTTCAGTTAAATAAAAATGCAGTGAAATGCACAGTATGGAGCAAACCCGGCAGGCTGGGTCTCAGCAGTTACCTAAACTGTGTATTGATTTGTAGTTTAAAGTCTGCTATCTGCTGATTGGAGGTGCCACTGCAGGGGGCTGAGTAGGAGGAACTTCTTGTAATCATCATGTTGTTAGAAACATCTCCAGCAAACAAAGGTTTCTCCTACAGTTGTGGTCTTGTGCAGGGAATGAGCTCCAGGTTCCTGCCAGAGAAAGCCAATCTGGACTGGGGTCTATCCAGCTATGGAGACATTCAAACCCC